ATGCAAATCAAAACCACAGTGAGCTACCACTTCACACCTACCAGAAGGGCCATTTTACATATATGTGTGTATATGTGTGTATATATATGTATATTTATGTGTGTGTGTATATCTATATACACGTATACACACACACACACACGGCCATGTATGGCTTAATGACAGGATATATTCTCAGAAATACATCATCAGGCGATTTGGTCATTATGCAAACATCAGGGTGAACTTACACAAACGTAGATGGTATAGCCTACTACACATCTAGGCTATAAGGTATGGCCTGTTGCTCCCAGGCTACAAACCTGCACAATATGTTACTCTACTCAACACTGTAGGACACTGTAACACAATGGTGTTCTGTAAACCAAAGAGATGTCTAAATCTGTAAGACAACATAGTCACGGATTTTTTTTGCAGCCACAGCTGCAATTTTAACTCCAGTGCGTGACAACCGTGGAGAGCTTCCAGAACGAGGCCAGCACAACTCCACCTTCTGGGAAAAACCAAGAGCCATGGTCCCGAAAGAAATTAGGAACCTCTTACTGACCAGGTTTGCTACTGATTGTATTAAAAGCACTAGCTTTTAGTAAGACGCCTGTGTTCACAGATCCCAGTAAATGATGCATTGCTTGGTGTGTTTTAAAGGTCAGCATTGAAGAGCCAGCCAGAATGAGGAGGCAGAATCAGAATCGGGTGATGAGCACTAAACTTCGAGGTAACAGCCTGCACTGCATGGTCTTGCGGGCCCTTCCATCTTCAAGAGTTAAATATGCTTAAAATTAGAACTATTACAAAAATCCAGGCTCAAAACTTCCATTTGGTACTGGGCAAAAAGCCTGGCAATTAAAAATAACTTGTTATCTTTGAAACTGGAAGGATGCCTACAGGCACTGCTCATAGCAACCTAAGGTTAAGTCATCTTAACATTAACTCATTTATGAAGAAACACCTACAGATCACAGAGCCTAACCATGAAACTCTGGAAGCGGTTTTCACTTTGCTCTGACAATCTGCCTCCTACCAATTCACCAGCAGAAACACAGCAAGTTTATTTTCAAACTCTAAACAGTAAAAACCAAAAAAACCAAAACCAAAACAAAACAAAAAACCCCAAAACACTCAACAGAAATACACTTCAAGAGATAAATCCCACTCAACAAAAGCTATAGTTCTAAATGAAGGTCAGCTTTGTGACAATATTTTTATAATTTTGGAAATGTAGTATTATGCAGAAATGGTTTCAATAACAGTCGCAAGAATGTATAAAACCACCAGGAATACATCATAGGGATCAAGGGTTTTCAAAGTGTGGTCCCCATAGCAGCAGCATCACCACCAAGAAACGTGCTATTAATAGAAATGCAAATTCTTGGGCCCCAGACCTCCAGAATCAGTACCACTGCAGGTAGGACCCAGCAATTTCTGTTTTAACAAGCCTCAAGGCGATTCTGATACACAGTCCACAGTTTGAGAATCATTATTTAGAGAAATGGAATGATGAAATTGCCTGAAAATAAGAGTTTTGGGTAGAAGTTATCATTTCTATGAGAAATATTATAACTTTGAAAATACAGAAAGGAACTATTTAATTTCCTGGCCAAACTCTTTTAATGTATTTTAAAAAAGAGAAATGAAACATCCACTGACTTTTAGTATGGCCAATATGTGCATTACATTATCCTTAGCAGGAGAGTTTTTCTCTATTGGAAACAGATGTATTGTATGACAATATTAGCATCTAATACTATTGCAGGACACAATAAATACACGATTTCTTCGGGATCTAAAATCTTACAGAGGAAAATGGCTTCCCAGACTTGTGGCTGATGCTGTCCAGCAAGTCACGCAGGCCAGCTGTGCACCTTTTCCAACCATATCCTAGTTGTGATCTGTCACTTTCCGAATGACCTTTACAAGGATGGGGGATGCAGCAATTAAGAAAATAAAATACTGACAACTTGTACAGTTTACCAGAAACCCAGTAAAGGGTTACTGTTCATTTTAAGTACAGCTTTCTAGCCATATCCATAGCATCAATGTGGACAAAATAATAAAAGGATTTATGAGGGACACACACAGGGTGAGTAGGATTTCTGAGTTTTCTGGATTTAAGTAGGTATAGCTCATAGCTGAAGGTATGATAATGAAATATGGAGAATAAGCACCAACAATATATCACCTTTAGCTGCTAAGGATAAACGACAATTGTAGATGAGAGAGGAGAGCGAGGGAGGAAGAAGAAAGGGAAGAACAAGCAGTAGGCACTGAAGTTCAGGACAGGAAAGAGGGCCCAACAGGTTCGTTCATTTGTGGGTTCACTGATTCATCTAACATATCCAACAGATACTTCTGAAATACCCAGCACTTACTGATAGTGGATAGCACAGGATGTGGCAATGTTTGTCCTCCCTGAAATAAGCACCTCTCAATATCATCAAGCAAGGGTCTAGCTCATTTACACTGCAGTCACTCAGGGTATTTTAAAAGCTGATATGCATGTTGAAGATCCATTCCAAAAGAAACAGCTGTGCTTATCCAGAAGCCAGGCTTCATGTGGTAACCTCAATGAAAGGTCCAGGCCCAAAGATTCCAAGAAAAAAGGAAATTAAATGAAGATGCCTGCCTCTGAGTCCTGCAGGGAGGCTGAACCCCTCAGAAACCTTTCCATGCTGTGAAGGAATTATGTCAGATCATGAACCTAAGGGCTCTTGGTGGCCTGGTGGTGGCTGTGAAAGCCAGCTCTAACCTGAGAAATGGCAAAATGAGCAGGAAAACACATGGCGATGCGGGGAGGCAGTGGATGGTGGGGAAAGAAAACAAGCAAAGGACTTGTCCACTTGTCCATCAGGACAGGTCCCCGGCAGTCACAGATGACAGCTGAGAACAGCCTTGGTCATGAACAGGAAACGCAGCAAACCTGGCCCGGTTCTGTGGTCACGAGAAAAGAAGCCACACCCCTCAGGGCTCTTGTAGAATCCCCGTGGCACAAGGCATGCACACTAACAACAGCTGAAAATGGCCTGTGTCATGGCAAGATCCATCAGGACAAGCTGCCCTGCACAGCATCAGGCCACGTGGAGCCTCAGACCAAGACGGTGCTGCTATGTGTGCAGAGCCGATGCAAGTGCCAGTAATGCCCTTTCCACCCTATATTCCTGGAATCATACATGTTGCTCCTTGACTTTCTAAGTTAGGAGAGAATGCAAAACATCTTGAAAGGCCCCCAATTACAAAATTGTTAAAAGGAAATACAATTAGTGCTTTAGTACTTTTGAAAAAGTTAACTCATTCTCTAACAATGCAAGGCAACTGAGACAGTGGGGTGTAGAGTTCCGAGATGAAAACCAGCCAATGCATGCATCCCTCCTTATCCAAAGGGATCTGGTCCCTGAATTCAGACAACAATGGCCACCTGTGCATGTTCCATAGAAAAGCCATAGGTTCTCCCTAAGGCCAGCAACCCCGGAGAACACCTTTTTCATCTACTCTCTAAAGTCTTTCTTCTTCTCCCCAAATCTTAGGCAGAAAGAATAATGACTGGGACCAGTGTCTCCACACTGCAGGACTTCCTTCTGAGAAGTCTCTTCAAACTCAAACATTTTAAGCCAAGATCATATTTTGTGCATTATACTTAGCCCTTAAGGACTCTGGACCAAGCACTTAATATTGTAATTGGTTTTCCAGCACTTTCTCTAAGTTTCTGCTCGATTGAGTTGAAAGCGCTGCTGTCCTTAATTTGCTTAAGGCTTCAAACCCGATCTAAAGGAAGTGGTGCACAGAGCTCTCGTCATGTGAGAACAATTCAATGTGATGTCTTGCCAGGAATGATAAACTCTGGTGACTTGATAAGAAAATCTCAGAGTTCAGATTTCAGATGAAGTTAGCTTTCAGGCTGGCATTCCCGTCCAAGCACATCTAAGGCTCCGCAAAACTGATGACACCACAAAGGAGTCCAGTTTCCACCACCACGATGCTCCTTCCTCAAAGAGGAGAAGATCCCACTTGCCTCTCTCTGGAGGGCTTTGAATGCCTCTCTGATCAGTCAACAGGACTCCTGAATGCGCACTTATTTATTGTGCTAGTAACCTTTTCAGAGGACAGCAGGGGCAGCAGGTAGTACATACTTACTAGTCTTACAGTGTGCATTTAAAAATGAAATTGAAGCCTACTAGAACCAATACAATTCAAATACATCAAACTCTATCTCCTAAATGCTTGTTTTGGAAGTCTCTCGATTGTAGAAGGTGTATGTGTAAAGACGTTTGCAAAACTGGTCGAATATTTCCTTCACACACGAAAAGGCTGCCTTCTGGGATGCAGGCTCCACCCCCATGCCTGAAACTCACTGCCCCCAGCCTGCCACCCCTGGAAGTGGCTCTGCTGCCCCAGTCGAGTGGCTTCATATCTCCCACTCACTGCACACACACACAACTCATCTCTCTCAAGAACTCTTGTTTTCTTTTCAATTCATCTTGTAAGTGCTTCAAAAGCTTTTCAGAGATGAACTCAGTGGCGCTGCCTGCCGTGGCAATGACCTTGGGATTATACGGTTTACAAAGAGAAAGCAAGCAAACAACAAAAGGCGGTGTCAGAAACCGGCCACCAGTCTTGCAAAGATTGCTTTCTCTGGGAAACAGACCGAGTAGAAACAAAGTAAATCACTCGGGCCTTCTACGTACACACAATGGGCAACCAGGAGAGAAAATGACGTTTGAGTCTGTAAAATACAAGAGGGGGAATCTTTGGAGAGAAGCAGAACCACCTTTGTCAGCTACAAACATTTTTTCAGTTAACCTCCCACCTCCAGAAATGGACACCCACGATCCCCAAAACAGATGCAAGGAAATCACGGAGTAGCAAACATTACACTAAATTGCATTCATCTGCATCTCCCGCCTTTCTAGCGTACTCACACAATGTGAAATGGGCGTGGCACACAGAGCCACTGTGCAAGGCGCATTTACTGCCTCCAGCCAGAGCTGCGGGCGCAGCGCACTTACCGAGGACTCGCTGTCCCTAATGAGGAAGTCGCCCTCCACGCCCCGCTCGTTGAGGGCGCACTCGGCCTGGTGCCGCGTCACGTTCCCGTAGTACCACTCTCTGCCCGCGAAGCGCCCGCTGGACGAGGGCCCGGTGTAGCTTATCTGTGGGGCGTGCGCAGGGTGCAGAGCAGGCCCGTCACTGAGGACCACCACGTAGTTTTTGGGGACGAGGCCCACCTGGCCCCGGGCATTTTTGCATTTCCACCACTCGGGGTCGTTCTCGGGCTTCTCGATCACCTCCATGGTCTCCCCCTTCTCGAAGTTGAGCTCCTCCTCGGTGACTGAGCTGAAGGGGTACAGCGTCTGGACCACGTGCAGCACGCGGGAGCCCTGGCCATTGCTCAGCGAGGCGCCCTTGCGCAGGCTCAGGAAGCTCGGGGACTCCGCAGCTGCCTCGTCCACCTCCTCCAGGACGTAGTTGGAGGGGAACCAGCCGATCTGCCCGTTGTAGCTGCCCCGCCACCAACCGTCGCTGCACTTCTCCATGACGGTGACACGCGACCCCTTCACCAGGGACAGCTCATCTTCCCGCTCGGCAACATAGGCGAACTTGACGAAGGCCGGGATGTTGAGGTCGTAGATGCGGTCGGCGCTGCTGCCATTGGCGGGGTACTCAGCATCCGTGCTGGGCGTGGGGGACGCGTCCCGCGCGCTGGTCTTCCTGCGCGTCTTGCCAAGGCCTGTGGAGACACAGCAAGGCTCAGTGGCGCGGGGCACTTGGGCACCACCCCACTCCCTAGTCTACCGGGATTTCCACGCAGTATCTCTGGCGGTTAAATACAAGGGGACACATGGACAGTGCTTACAAACTGTTAATTACCATCAGAAAAATAAGGTTGCTGGCAGCTGCCTCCTGTAGCTGTGAAGTTACTTAAAGTTGAGAACTACTTAAACTGATCTATTTTACCCATAAAAACGTCACAGGGCCAGCACGGTGGCTCACGCCTAAAATCCCAGGCTTTGAGAGGCCCAGGCGGGAGGATTGCTTGAGGCCAGGAGTCTTAGACCAGCCTAGGCAACATAGCAAGACCCTGTGTCTGCAAAAAATTAAAAAAAAAAAAAAAAAAAAATTAGCCACCTGTGGTGCACATCTATGGGCCTAGCTACTGGAGAGGCTGAGGTGGGAAGATGGCTTGAGCCAGAGTTCCAGACTGCAGGGAGCCGTGATGGCTCCACTGCACTCTAGCCTGTACAACAGAGTGAGGTCCTGTCTCTAAAATCAAACAAAACCAAAAAATGCGGAAGTACCACTGACACAAAAGATAACGAGAAGAGTAGAAGGTTTCCTTCTGAAATAACCGTTTTTAGAGCATCCCTGTGCCTCTGAAAAAAATAAAGTATAAATGCAGACAAAATACCTTTTTCATTCCTTGAATGGGTGGGAAGTCAGACTAAATGAATTCAAAGACCCGTTAGAACTCTTAAGACCGTCCAGTCCTAGGGAGCACAGCTTGCATAACCTGCCCTGCCCCCAGCTGCCTTGCCACTGCCTCCTCCACTCCTGGGACACTCACTGCCCTCACCCCTGGACAGCATGACAGCCCTAATGGGCAAACCCCATCATCTTCACCTTTCTTCTCGTCTTACAATTCTTCTCTTCTTTTAAAACAGCAGACTAATTTCCCACAACAGATTGTGATGAGTGCATTAGGAAAACTTAGCTGATACCTTAAATCGAAGACACAATTTTTCATACTGTGATTCAAAGCCCACTAGTGGATCATAAAAACCACTTTAATGGGTTGCAACCAGCCTACAGGTATGTGTTGAACTTAAGGGAATAAAGCAGAAAATTTCAGTGCATCAAACACAATTACAGTAAGTACTGTTTCTTCAGTCACACATGTGAGTACTGAATCAGAATGGGAAACATTTCTTCCTGTGCGTGATGAAAAACGCTAGAAAAGCCCTAAGGTAAAAATGTTTTAACTGTGTTAAAATGCATGGAATTCTGGAACATTCTACGAGAGGAAAGCATGTCAGCCCCAGAGCTGGGGACACACCCCACACAGGCAGACGTGGCCTTCTTTAGCTGTCCTAAGAGATGAGTGCTCCCACCACAGCTCTGCTTTGACCTCTATCTTAACCAGTGTGGAGGATTAGTCATTTGTAGACTCCTCAAAATGACTTCCTCAAAGCGCTTCCATGGGTAGCTTCTTGTACCTCTTTCTCCTTTTCTTCCTTAAACTAGAATAAAGGGGGATCAGTCCTAAGAATTACTTGTGCTTCTATCGCCTTGCTGAGTGGGCAGGAGGTCAAGAGGGGAAAAAGGCTGATTATCCTCAATGGTGGAGAGCTGGGCTGCCGCCCCCCTGGGGCAGATCGGCCCTGCCCAGCAGCCACTGCCCTAGGACGTGCACCCACGCAGCACCGGAGGCATGTGAGGCCACATACGTTTCAGAGCAAATACACTGATTCATTTATGCTAATGTCCTCTGACGTTTCTCTTTGTACCACATTTTATTCACGTGCATGGGAGACACAAGAGTAAGCCAGAATATTAGAACAGGTGAAACACTTAGATTTCTACTTCGGGTTAACTCACATTATATAAAAGCATAAACCTCCAAATCTGAGAACTCATCCTTTCATGGGATTTCAAACGCAGGATGGTTCAACTACACAATGAGAGCACCATGATAACACCACAGCTCCACAATCCGGAAGGCAGGCCATCCATGAACGCGAACTTTTTCTGTCCAGAAGGCAGTGGTGCCCGAAGCTCAACCAGGAAGGCCTTACGGCCTTATCAAACAGCTAGCAAGCTGGGACCACCAGGGCCAGGCTGAGGCCGACTTTTATTGGCAACAATGATGTCAAGAAATAACAATGAACAATAAACTTTTAATAGACCTTTGCAAACATGTAACTTACAAAAGCTATTTGAGAAAAAAACGCCTGTGGATGAGCGGGTTTCGGAATATTCATCAGGCCATGAAGATAAAGGTGACAAGATCAGCAGAAAAGACATTAGAGAGTGGCCACCACAATATGTTATACAGACACTTTATAACTGATACATGAATATTCTACTTTAGTGACTTCTTTCAAAAACAAAATACGGTAATTTAAATTAATTAATACAGCCACTGAATTCCTGAGACATACCAGGCACCAACCTAGACTTCGGTGGGGGGTGAAATGAGCAGACAAGCATGCTTTCTGCCTGCACAGAGCTTATACCTGGAACACTGTACATAGCAAGCATGCAGCAGCAATTTTAACCTGTTTTGCTCGAATGTGATCTAAGTAGTCTTTGAGGCAACTCAGAGGGTCAGTGCAGACTGACAGAGAGCTGCATGCTCTTGGTCAAATTACTTAATAAATGTCTGTGAACTTATTTTCTTACCCCCTAGATGTGAACATGTTAGTCTGCTCACGCTACCATAATAAGTACCACAGACTGGGTGGCTTAAACAACAGACATTTATTTCCTCACGGTTCTGGAGGCTGGAAGTCCAAATCAAGGTGCTGGCAGGGTTGGTTCCTTGCAAGGCCTCTCTCCTGGACTTGCAGATGCTGTCTTCTTCCTGTGTGTCTTCACACGGTCTTCCCTCTGAGTGTGTCTGTGTTCCAATCTCCTTTTTTATAAGAACACCAGTCAGACTGGATGAGGGCCCACCCCAGTGACTTCATTTTAACTTAATCACTTCTGTAAAGGCTCTATTTCCAAACATAATCACCTTCTGAAGTCCTGGGGATTGGGACTTCGTATGAATTTCAGGAAGATGCCATCTGGCGCATGACAGGCACCGGCATTCAGCTGATGCTATAAAGCACAGGAAGTGCTCTGTGGATAACAATGATTACTCTTATTAACTAAGCTGTGGTTTTCTTGTTGCTCTAAATGGTATTTTACCAAAAGAAGGCCAAAGCCCTCTTTAAAAACACTTGGTCATCATCCTATCAGTGTCAGATGGCCACCAAAACAGAAAGCCTGCCTGCCAGACTTTGCCACCTGGGAAGCAAACGCTCTTCCATGGGAGCAATGCTGTATGTAGCTGCTGGTGCAGTGAAATTCAAGAGGCAGGTGTCTGGGGATGGGGAGGGACCTGACTTTACTGACACCTATGTTATCTAAACCCTCACAACAGTCCTGTGACAAAGTGGGCAACTTCTTCATTCATGGAAATGAGGAAACTGAGGCTACAAGAGGTCAGGGAATTGGCCCAACATACCCAGCCAGTGACGTGGCACAGGCTGCACACCCAGTAAATCCCCATTCAATCCATAATAGTCAAGAAGCATAGTTCTGATAGTGACTGGCATCCAGCATGGTTTCTATGGAAAGCATTATCATCTGTAATATGATTTCTATGGGAAATGAAACTAGGACTCTGAATTGGGGCGCCAACAATCTATTCCACTCCCTCCCTGCCCGCTTGCACGCCCAGGCGGAGAGAAACCTTTTCTCTTTCTCTACAGAATGAACAGGCCCCTGTGTCTCCAGATGGGAGAGGGGCTGAGGTTCAGATAATGAAGATTTTGGATAAGAAATGTAATACCAGTGACAGGCCAGGGCCGCAGAACAGCAGTTAACAGGTCTTGGCAGGGTGGAGGGGTACTGTGTGGGAAAGACGTCAATGGGACCAAGTTGCTGGGTTGCTGAGAAAGCAGGTCCCTTTCCTTCCCTGCACCCTGATCCTGCCCAATGGCCAGAGCCAGGGTCATCTAGAACAGAAGGGATGGGAGACCCTGAATGCTGGCATACGAAGACTTAATGTGCTCAGTCCTCCTGACTGCTAAGGATACCAGAGAAAGAAAGCTGTGGCCAGGGGGAGGGTGCCTGAGCAAGGTGTCTCAGTGGTAGGAGGGGGAGTGGGAAGAGAAAAATGCACCAAGAGTGCAGGTGGCCTTTCTGTGTGAGGATAATTAAGTAAACTGCAACCCTAGAGTCAGGAGAGCCTTTACACGGGGGCAGGCTCGGGGGACTCAGTGATCCCTTGTCCTTCTCCTCTTGCCTAGACTTCACCTGGAGCTGTGACCCAGCCAGGTGACAGCCAGGACATCTCAAAGGGAAGATTTCTGCTGCAGAACAAACAGGGATTCATGTGCGCCTGGGAGACGGGATCACTGCAGCTGTGTGTCCTGACTGAGGGCAAGTCCCTGAGTGGTTCAGGCTCTAAGTGACCGCCTCTCTCTAAATTGAAGGCAAACTCATTACCTTGTAGGTAAAGAGGCGGCACCGGGATCCCAGTTTCCTTTCATTCTCTGTGTGTAGTTTTTCTACACATCTCCGCTTCACCGCCTCATCCTTCATTAAAGTAAAACCACCTACTGCTTCCAGTTGTAACAGAGGCACAATTTGCACTCCAATGTGTGTTTATTTTAACAGGGTAACACGATTTTTTTCTCACAGAATTTTACATATTTTCTCCACAAGACAGGCAAATCCTCATACCCACTTCTCAGACTCGGCCTGTCTTTAGCTACCATAATGAAACCATAGCCAACCAGAATATGGCAGACTGGGAGCCCTCATCGTCCAGGGCCCCTGCTCACTCTTCTATTTTGGAAGAGCGCATTCGCCGGCATGTCCCTGGAGCCTGCTCACCTTGGGGTCAATAGTGAACTCCAAAGCAGGCTGCAGGCCAGGTGGATCCTTCAGGGAGATGTGAGGTAGGCGGGTCCTCACCCATGCGGAACACCCAGTTTCAATGCCTCCCATCCTGCCCTGACC